ACTTTTGATCACCTGGTTGGTGGCATGAATGGCTAGTTGCCAAATTAGAGTACGGGTTGTACATCTCATCACTTGGTTGGTGGTAATAACGGTGGGTTGCCGAATAATTTTGGAGTACTGGGCGTACTTTTAGTCACCTGGTTGGTGGTAATAGCGACGAGTTGCCGAATAATTGTGGAGTACTGGGCGTACTTTTGATGACCTGGTTGGTGCTATTTTGGGCTTATGGGCCTTCGCCCTCTACATAACATTCCAGCCCATTTATTTTGGGCTTTGCGTATTTTTTTTTTTTACCCTCTGATGGGGTTTATACATATGTCTCTGAGAGATAAGAAAAATAAATTACATCATACATCTGTTGAAAAAAATAAATCACATCATTCTGGTGGGGTGTTTATTTCTTGCTTTTTGCTTTCTCTTTTGATTTCTGCTTTTACTTTCTCTTTTCCCTTTTGCAGATGGCAGACAAGGAAATCACGTGGAATGTCTCTTCTCTTTCTGCTTTTGCTAATAAAATCAGTGGAGTCTTCAGATTGCAGATGGCTTTTATTTTCTAAGGTGGCTAGGGAAGTAATAATGGTGAGGCAAAAATAATAAAGAAAAAGAGAGAATCTTATCGTGCACCAAACTGATAAAGTAATAACGATGTGCGTCAGAGACAGCTGAAGAAGGTGATTCTGGTCCTGATTGAAACCGCTTTAAACTTTCACAAGTGGGTGGTGCCGCGTAACCCCACACACAGAATCGAGAAATGCAGCTATTGAGTGGAGCATATGTCTTTGTATCTCGATATCGACACACTGCCTTTTCTTTTTATATATATATATATATATATTTTTTTTTTTTTTTATTCTCTGCGCATTGGATGGCACAAAAGCAATGTTTAGGTCTGAATCCCTAACACGCCGAGCTTTTTCATTGCCTTGTTGAAGGGGGGCGGCAGTTAACCTGCCATTTCTCTCCCTAACACATTGGATTCGATCCACACGTACTCGCAGCCTTTACTGCCATTGATGCACTACATGAAGCAACTAAGTGTGATGCAACAGGACCTGCTGCGGAGGGTGGCGGTTAAGATCATCGCCGAACACATGTCTCGCTCTGAACCGCCTCTTGGATGCGAGGTTGTGATTTACATGCTGGACACGAACTCGCAGGGATTCAACATGCGGAAAGTGCGCGCCAATTATTCCAGATCATCAATGTCGTAGCAGGGGTTGTGGATGTCGTAGCGTGGATAAACGACACGCGTTCTTAGAAAAAATCGATGGCAACGATTCTTGTGCACGCGTTGCTGGTGCTGCTCGTTTGGTTCCTCTATCTGATCCCTTGAAAGAACCTGTTGATCGCGTATAACTCCAGCATTGTACACCGGAGTCATGTCCGGTTTGAATAGCCCCCAGTTCTTCTCAGCAGACGGGCCGGGTTTCTCCAGTCTGAATCGGCCCGTGCTGGGCGGGTCAGAAGACAACATGATTCCCAGCGAGTGAAGGGTCGAGACCTTGACGTCTTTGATCCCCTCTTGGACCAAAGCGCTGTGGAAAGTCTCTATGGCAGGAACTAGGCTCGACTTGGGAGCGTCGTCCCCCTAGTGGAGGACCTCGTTGCCCAAGGTAATGTATTTGATTTTGCTTGCCTGGTAAAACGGCTTGACATGATCAGTGATCCAACGGTGACCGGTTTGTAGGTTTTTTAGGCTCGGAATTTCTCCGTTGGGGACGGTAATCGTCAATGAGATGTTGATGTTGGCGAAGGCCTTGATGATGTCTGGGTTGGCGTCGAAGAGTTTGACGGCGTCGATCTTAGTTTGGGTTTTGATGATGATTCCGACGTCGGTGTTCGCCAGGGCTTTGATTATGGCTGGGTCGAAACCGTAAAGCCGAACCTTTTGTATTGAGGTGGACTAGAGCAGCTTCGTGGTGGATGACAGTGGCGGTTGGCGGCGAGGTTGTGGGTGTAGCTCCTCGGGCCTGGGCCATGCATGATATGGCCAAAAGATTCAAAACCATCAAAACTTGGAAAACTACAACCTCTGGATGATGGAGGAGGCGTTCCCGACCTATGAAAGCAAGCGAGACTAAAGCACGGCCTAGCTGTCCATCTCATCCCTCACCTTCCTGAACCTCTGCTGATACTTCTTCACCATGGCCTGCATCTCCCCGACACCAAGCTCAAGAGTGAGTTGTTGCAACACTGAAACGATAGCTAGCGTGGGTTTTTAGAGTAACACTACCTGAGCTCCGAGTTTCAGTTTTCTAAAAAGCCTCATCCTTTCTCCAATTTTACGATCTGACCCAGACCTATCTTATTCTTTAACCTACTTGATCCGCTTCTGGCTTTCCTTTTCGTCAACCGCCACAGTCAAACCCTCGTCAATCGGAGCAGGTTTTTTTGAAAAGTGGAAAATGTGTGGGTTGTGGGGAAAGGCGTGAGTTCAGAGGCAGAGAGAGAGAGAGGAGTGATGGTGTTTAAGGGATGAGTTTTGGAGCTTAGTGAATGCTTTTTCTGGAAAAACGGCAAAGAGGTTTGTGGGTTTTTTCAGATTTTGCACTGTTGATTTTGCAAATTTTGCAGATCCACGGCGGAGGTGAAAAAATGAGAGAGAACCGACATAGCTTTTCGTGTCGATTCCCACAGACGGCGCCAAATGTTGATGCACAAAACCGGAGGTCTTGGTACAACGTAAATCTGACAGTGAATCTGCATGAAATGTAATTAACACAAGAGTTATCGTGGTTCACCCCAAGGTTTGAGCTACGTCCACACTGATTGTATTGTATTTCTCTGAGAAGTGAGGGAGAGAGTGTGAAAGCTTTGCCCTAGATAGGAGAGGCTTAGGGTTTGTGAGGGTGAAGAGGCCTTTTATAGAATAAGGGCTCCTCCCCTAGTTACATATTTGCCCCTTCCTTTATTACATAATTACATTTAAGTCCCTCGAGTATTTATACGAGGTCTAAATACAAGGCCCTAAATATGGTATAAACAGAAAGTAATATTGACATGCATATCATGTGTAAACTGAGCGACTGATAAAAGATTTTTATGAAGAGAAGGAACACGAAGAACATCAGAGAGACGAAAAACATAAGTGCCAAAAGAAAACAAAACATTACCAAATTGAGTGATGGGGAGGGTGTCACCATTACCAATAACAACATTATCACTTGGTGCAGACGAAGCACCGGGGGGAAACAACTTAGCATCACATGTCATGTGATTTGTAGCACTGGAGTCCTAATACCAGTTAAGATCGGAAGAGGAAGCAATATGCATGCCAGCAAAGGGACGAGATTGAGGACACTTAGCTTGAACATGTCCAAATTGGTGGCAATGCCAACATTGGACCAGCTGATGAGGTGGATGAGGACCTAGAATACCTTGAGCATTGAAGGCAAGTTGTTGTTAACGGTAAAAGTTCTATGGAGGCCTATTAAAGAGACAGATGGGTAGCCTTGGGCCAGAGGGATCACGAGCATGAAAGGGGCGCTGGCTACGCGGTGGACGTGTTGCGATCATGGCAGAATATGAGTTTGTAGAATTGAGTTGGGCTGCAAAAGCTTGTTGCCCCTCAAAAGCAAGCAGTTTAGTGCAGAGGTCAGAAAAGGGTAGAAGTGGTGGAAAATTCAGAAGAGCCGTTACCAGCATCTGGTAATCAGGTCCCAAACCACGAAGTATATAAGTAACCAAGTCAGAATTGGACATAGGTTCTTGGATATCAGTGAGTTCATCAGCCAAACTTTTGGCCTGAGCAACGTAGTCATAAATAGTTTTGGAGCCTTTGGTGAGAGAGAAGAAACGAAATTTCAGTTGGGCAACATTGGCTAGTGATTACTGCGATAAATTTTGCTAGAGACAATCCCATATATCTTTCGAGGTGGAGAACCCAATGACTTGAGGAAGAACGACTTCAGACAGTATGGCACGAAGAATACTAATAAGGCTTTGATCAGTTTGGAACCAAGATGTGTATTCAGGATTGGGTGTAGGTGGAGGAGGAGTAGGAGATTTGTCATCACTTGAAGAAGAGGACAAAGTAGAGGGAGGGAGGACATGCATAAGATCCATCAACAAAAAGCCAAAGATTTTGGCCTAACAAGAAAGGTTTGACTTGGCTTTCCCATACAAGAAAGTTGGTTTCAGAAAGTTTGACAGAGATAAGATGAGAGATATTGGGAATAGAGATAGGGGAAATGGTCGAAGAGGACGTACTACCTGAAGCCATTGCAGAAAAAAAGCTTCAGGCTTTGATACCATGTAAAAACTGTATATTCAATGATAATCATTTGAGATATTACAACCTATATTTATACACAAACTATAAGATATCTTCCTAGTGGTTACAATAAAACGGAAAACCCATTATATCCTTATAAAGGCTAATAACAACATAACAGCGAAAACACTAATGTATTGTCATTGAAGACCTTTAACTATGGTAACTCCCGTAACCCCCTAACAATATGGACGAGTATTACAAGAATATGGCAAGTAAGGGGACAAAATCTAAAGTGAGCTCAAATGTCCACATCAGATTTCCACTCAGCCCTGGAATTTTTGTCATTTTACAATTTCAGACATTAAAATACAATAAAACTAAGAGCGAGTCGTAACAATTAAAGCCTAAACCCTAATTTATTATACTAGCTAAACCTTATTACTAACCACAAGTATGGCTATGTATAACATGAAGATCACACGATTAAAACTCAGTCAAAGTTTCGTAAATCTACAATCCAAAAATCATCCCTACCATTAACCCTAACTCTATATATCCGATTTAATGACACAAATGCAATATTCAGGAACAGGTAGTGTCAATCATGTCAATTTATATTCTAATCTAGTTGGTGATGACGTACTATTTTTTATTTGCGTAATTTTCCATCTTTGAAAAACATAACCGCGTTGAACCTTCCTCCCAGTTTCTCACAACCTTCTCAGTTTCCACGCACTTCCAAGTTCCAACTCCTATATATGAAGGGTCGTGTCAAGGTCTCGTATCCTATCCACACATTCACATACTCAGACACTACCTAATAGTACTACTAAGGGTTATTACGTAAGCCACACTATCAACCATGGTCTGCCAGAAGGTTCTTGTCGATGAGGTGTCCGGTTGGCTGAGATTGTTCGCTGATGGCTCAGTTGACCGGACGTGGACTGGACCGCCTCAGGTCCAGTTCATGACTGAGCCGGTCGCACCTCATGATGAATTCATCGATGGAGTTGCCACCCGAGATGTTTACGTTAACGAAAACCTCCGGCTACGAATTTATCTACCGGAGACAAACCCGGAGGATTCTTCGAAGCTCCCCATAATCCTTCACCTCCATGGAGGTGGCTTTTGTATTAGCCAAGCGGATTGGTACATGTACTACCAAATGTACACCAAGCTTGCACGCTCAGCCAAAGCCATTTGCATCTCAGTCTACTTAAGTCTCGCGCCTGAGCACCGTCTCCCCGCTCCAATCATCGACGGCTTCTCTGCGTTGCTGTGGCTTCGTTCCGTTGCACAAGGCGAGTCATACGAGCAATGGCTAGTCAGCCACGCAGACTTCAACCGTGTCTTTCTCATAGGGGATAGCTCGGGTGGAAATCTCGTGCATGAAATTGCCGCTCGAGCAGGGAAGGTGGATTTGAGTCCGTTAAGGCTAGCGGGTGGGATTCCTATCCACCCAGGCTTCGTTCGAGCGGTGAGGAGTAGGTCGGAGTTGGAGCAGCCAGAGTCACCTTTGCTAACCCTAGACATGGTGGACAAGTTTTTGAGCTTGGCACTGCCAGTGGGGTCGACCAAGGACCATCCAATAACTTGTCCGATGGGCCCCGAAGCACCGCCTTTGGATACTCTGAAGCTGCCGCCGTTTCTTCTATGTATTGGTGAGATGGACATGATAATAGACACTGAGATGGAATACTATGACGCTATGAAGAAGGCTAAGAAGGATGTGGAGCTTCTGATTAGTCCAGGGATGAGTCATAGCTTTTATCTTAACAAGATTGCGGTGGATATGGATCCTCAAACGGCTGCGCAAACTGAGGCTCTAATTTCTGGGATCAAAGACTTTGTCAACAAGCACTAAAAGATATCGACTTTGTAGTTGCTAATAACGTTACTATGTGTGGCCATTTATGGGTCCGTTTGTTTCATACCCACTATATATATATACTTTCGTAATGAAAATAAAAATTGCAACTTCTTATCTTTAACTTTTTTTTCCCAGTTACCAACCCTTATTTAACATGATTTATGCAAATTTTGATTAATATCTTGAAGTTATGATTCACATCCATATGGTGGTTCATTTCATCATTTATATATATATATATATATATATATATATATATATATATATATATATAACTTGGTTTTTTGAATGGGGGATCTTCAATTGTTGGTCTTTATCTTCTTCCTCTAACCTCAGTCTCATAGGCGGTGACATGCATGTTCAATGTCATAAAAAATATCTTTAATGACACCTACAAAGAAAGTTTTGGCTGATGAAGAGGCACATCGGGTGTAGACCTAGCCGATGAACACAAATTTCGTCGGGCAAACTTTAAGGTATTAAGCACCATTTTATTTCTCTTGGCGTCAAAAACTTGCCGGACGAATATAACCTTGCCTTACAACTCTAGCTATTCGGTCTTGTAAAGGTTTTGAGTAAAACTTAAATGGTTGACCAGCTTTGTCCCAACTAAATAATTCGTCGAGTAAAATACCTTTTCTAGACGAAATGCGGTTCGTCGGGCAAAGTTTTGTAGAGTAACCCCTATTTTCTGGTAGGGCATGTCGTGTGTGCTTCGTTCTACCATTAAATCTGCTATTCTATTGAACCAATCCCAAATGTCAAAAAATTCCCGAGGTCCAAAAATCCTCATGCGGCTTTAGTACAAGTAAGTTTTTCCTCATATATATTGTCAACTGACTTTATAGTGGAACTTTGACTTCCTTCATGGTATTAGACTAGTTTGCCTTATGTGTGAGCCTAATGGTTACGCGCACTCCATGTACTCGATTTGTTGAAAATTCGCTACACGTGATAGAGCGTGTTGAGATGAATCTTATATTGTAGGATGGTGAGACCTTGTATGAGCTTATATAAGTAAGTTAATTGGACTACTTTTCATATTGACAATTTTTTTTATAGTGAAATTTGACAATTTTTTTATAGTGAAATTTTAACTTCCTTCAATTATATAATTGGCGATTGCCTAAATCTCAAAACGTCGTTTGAACTGATAGTAAATGCAGTTTAAGAAAAGATTTTCTCCATAAAAATAGGAAACCAAAGTTAATAAAACTAATTCTAATAAATATTTTGTTTAACAAAAATTCTAATAAATTTAAATAAACATAAAATCCCAACAAGATATTATTGTAGGCGTCTTGAATCTTCCATCCTACTTTATTTGGTGTTATTATGCACAATAGGGCTTTACCGTCGTTTTCTTTATTATTGATAGGAATTGGTGAAGACCCTATGAATTAAAACCTCAGACCCCTTGAAAGTTGAAACTTTGAAAGTGTGGATGTCGCCTTTAGACAAAATGCCTAACACAGATGGATACAACAAGCTGTTTTTTTTGGGAAAAGGATCCGGTTTTTTGGAAAAAGAATCCTCACCGGATCCTTTTCCTATGGATCCTAAGAATTTCGTGATCTCACTCGTTTATCGTATATCATGCAGTAAGTTTTCGTTAGGTAATATTTATATTTAATTTTAAATTTTGAAATGATTTCTAACCGCACGATGTACGATGAACAGGTGAGATCATGGAATCCCTAGGAAAAGTATATAGCGAGGATTCTTTTTCGTTTTTTTTTTCTATTAAAAAACGGATAAGGATTCTCTTCAAATCCTCTTTGTGAGGATCCTAGGAATCCTCAAATCCTAGCCCTTCATCGTACATTGTGAAGTCAGTTTTTGTTAGGTACTATTTGTGTTTAATTTTAAATAAAATTTTTAAATGATTTTAGTTGCACAATATACGATAAACGGTTAGAATGTGAGGATTCCTAAGATACCTACAATTTGAATCCGGATGGGCTCCAAATCCATAAAAAACTAACCTAATTCTTAGAATTCCCTCAATTGGTCATCTGTCTCAAATTCTGCCTTGCATTTGTGATTGGTACTTTATTTTCTTTTGGACTTGGTGCTCAGCCTTTTGTTCCTGTATCTTAAAGGCTGAGGATTTTTCGATGGGGTGTGCTATCCACACACCCTAAATTACTTCCCACACACCCCTTGTTAATTTCTGTCCGTTGATCTTCTTCAATTCATCTGATCCAAATGCTGAAAATTAAAAGGATGTGTGAGAAGTAAAATAGGATGTGTGGATATCACATCATTTTTTCGATAGCTTGTGGATATGATTCATGGCATATAAGCTATGAAGATGGGCTTTACCCCCTTTAATGAAAACATAACGATATATTTGTACTTAAAGGTGGCAAAATAAATATGTACTTAACTCATCATTCACGAGATTTTGAATATAAGACATTTAACTTATAAGTGAAGAAAATTTCAACTAGATCATAGTACGTAAGTGACATGAATATGTTTTTGTCAACATATTATACGAGGCGTGTTGCAATTATCATGTTACATTTCTTGAAAAGTACATCAATTGCTCGGGTAAACCATTTATCACGTTGTATAATGAGTCAAATGACGAAATATCATTCTTATTGAGTAGATTTCAAACTCACTTTAAGAAAAGGAGGGGAACGTGCGCTAATTTCAACTTTCTGAATAGGTTACTTCAACATTTTTCAGTACGCATTTGACAATTCATCACCAACCAGACAAAGAGATTCATGACCCAGAAAAAAGTTGAACGGTATATATGTGTATGTGTGTGTGTGTATATATATATATATATATGGAATTTTTGTATATATGGCCCAATTTACCTATAGGTTACTTGAACTTTTTTCAGTACGCATTTGACAATTCATCACCAACCAGACAAAGAGATTCATAACCCAGAAAAAAGTTGAAGGGTATTTATGTGTGTGTGTGTGTGTGTGTGTGTGTATGGGGAATTTTTGTATATATGGCCCAATTTACCATTCAAACTTCCTTTCAGTGAGTTGACGAGTGGTTGCAGGTGCACGAGTTGTATGACGTTCAACATAGCACCGTAGTGGGTTGCTGCTACTTTGTGCTGGTCGTGCATGGTGGACCGATGTCTTCCATAAAAAATATAAGGGTAATGCTACAAACAAAATGTCGGGTGCACATAACTCTTTTAAGTTACAAATTTTAGTGGTTTATCGTCTGTCGAACTATCAAGTTAATTACCCTTTTTAAGATCATTTGCTTAAACGAATGTTTGGATTGATGCAACGTAGGTCCCTTTTTTAAAAGAATGAGATTCCTAATTTTATTTAAACTACTAGAATGAAACATTCACTGATATATGGCTATCAAGTCACTCCCTTGAAGACTTTTGACGGCTATGAAGTAACTCCTTTGAAAGTTTTATTACAAGACAATAGGCAAACTCTTCCATATAAAAAACTTAAGGGCTCATTGATAATCATTTCGTTTTTAGTTTTAGTTTTACATTTTTAAACGAAGATGAAATATAAAGAATAATGAGAGATCAATAATGATAGTATTAAGGATATGGAAGGACATGGAACAAATGCACAACTTGAAAATCAAAAACTAAAAGCTGATTCATGCATCATTTTATTTTTGTATATGTTATTTCATGACCATTTCCCTCCACTCTCTTCTACCACGGTCCCTCCACATCCTTGATTCATGCATCATTCTATCTAATTTCTCCCTCTCTAGTAAGGAAAAACAAAACTAATAAAGAATGATCATCAAACGGAGCCTAAACATGTGAACTTGGAATACCTACTTAATTTTGTAGCACCTAAACTAAGAGATTTTTTGTTAGATTGAGGACCTAATCAGCCCTTCTATATATGTATCATGGGTAAGGAATGAATGCTAAACCAAAAGGAAAGATTGTTTGTTTTTATATGAAGATGTGAATCATGATCTCCACGCCATTTTTCTCCAGACTTTTGTTTCGTTTGACTATTGTAAATTAGTAACATACTTTCATAGAAACTACGAGTGATAAAGTTTTACTCTGGTCAAATCACAAAGGTTGAATTTTGAAACCAAACGTGGGTGCCACGCAGAGGCATATAAACTTCGTTGTATTGTTGGGAAGCTAAGGCGAATTGGGACCTTAGAAAATACTAGTTGCTACTCCAAATCAAGTAACCGACAACCGACTTCACAATAACATTTTGGAATTCCAATTTTTTTAGTCGCATAGACTTGGCCATTACAGAAGACTAGAATGATAGTGCATGTGACTTGGCCATTGATTGGTCGATGGTGCCTGTCCAAAATTGGCCACATCAAGCTCCAGGCTCGTGAGTACAACTTATTTTGTCATTCCTATTAGTTTGTATTTGGAAAAAAATATTCATATATTAGCTTAACAATTTATGAGAATGATGATATGCAGCCTTGATTGTGGTGTCTCAGTGCTATACTATATGGAGCAAATGTCAAAGATGTGGCCGATACTGGAAAAATTCGATGAAGATAAACTGCTCAAGTATAAAGCAACATATCTAGGTGCATTTTTGAATGATATGAATCTAATTGGTCGTAGACAGGTCACCAACATACGGTCATGGCCATGTATCCAATATTCGATACATTTAGACTACACAATCATGTCTAGTTATGAGTTTCATTTTTAATTTTGACGTTATTTTTGTCAAAAAATATGATGTACTTTGTGATCGATCTATTTAACTAGCTTATGTTCACGAGCGTTATGCTATATATATATATATATATATATATATATATATATTTTTTTTTTTTTTCTTGATATACAGATTAAAAATGATTAATAAAGAAAAAAAAAGCAGAAGGAAAACTCCATCATACACGAAGGAGAAATATTGCATGCATATCATAATGTACCAAGATTGTTATTTTTTTGGTACAAACAAAATTACATTTGTGTTGGTTTAGTAGTCTGAAATTCAACAATATACCTAATATAGAATTTATTCATTAACTTGAAGTTAAAAGGTATGAAAATTTTTGTTAAAAAAAAAAACGGGTATATATGAATATCAGACTTAAGCAATGCAGAGTGCTTGGTGGCTCCAATTCGAACCAAAAATAAAGGATGATCCAAAGAAAGTGCAG